AAAAAAATTATTAATTTATTTAAAAAAATAAAAGAAATTGATTTATCCAATATTAAAAAAAAAAATCGATTCTTATTCGGTTCTTCGGTTCTGGGTCTAGAATCGAGAACCTAACCAAATCATTCAGTTCTCGATTCGAATACCCGTTCGGGGATTTCATTTAAAAAAAACCCGCTCGATTCGGTTCGGTTCGAACATTTTGTCCAATCCTAATTTTGAGTATCTTTGAGTGCATTTATACATTTTAGTTGAGTATAATATATAAGATTTTCTTGAATAACGATGGTATTGATTGCAATTATCTATTTTAGGGTGATTGTCAGGTTTGTCTCATATTGCACTCATAATCTCTCAAAAATAGGTATTCTATGGATTGAGGTAAGTTGCCGTAGGAATTTTTTTTCAAAAGGTGAGAGTTAGATCGAAGCGGGATAAGTTTTGACTTTCGATCAATAAAATTTTTATGTCGATTTTATAAAAATGTCTATTGTATTCTCATTTTATTTAAAGCAAGAAATAAATGTTAATGCTATTTATTTTATCTAAAATAAATGTCAAATTGCCACCGAAGAAAAAATAATGAAGGGTGTTAGAATTTGAGTGTGACCCAAATTCATTGTTGAAGTAATTGAAGAATTTTAATTGAAGTGCACGTCATGAAGAATTCAAATTTGGAATATTATCGGAATCATATGTCATGTTGAAGTTCTATTTTGAAAGTCCATTGAGAGTTGAAATTTGTTGAATTCAAATTTGGAATATTAATGTAGTCCTATGTCACGTTGAAGTTCTATTTTTGAAACCCATTGAGAATTGTAATTTGTTTTGAACTCAATTTTATGGTATCCTACTTCATCAACAACTCTACTAGGTGAGTATGTACATTCCCCACTTATTCATTATAAATATTAAGCTCTTCTATACAATTTTATAAGGTGTGAGAAAATAGATTACTAGAATTATAGAATCCATTGTAATTTTATTTCTTCTCCATTATTCTTGAGTCAATAAAATCTCTTAATTCATCAGTCATATTCTTGTCTTCTTTATTCTTTTACTTGACCAAATACTTCATTATTTTTTGGTATATAACTTCAACATCTCAATCAGGTAGTTTGTTCCACTATAATTGATATAAAAAATATTCTGGTATCTTGTTTATTTTACAACAAAGGGCGTGTTTGATGTATCTCTTTATAGAATAAATTTAGTAAAAAATAATTTTTCGAAGAATATGTGATTAAAAAATATGAAAATACATATAAAATTATTTTATTAAAAGAATATATTGTTAAAAATAAATTTTAAAGAAATGAATTTTAAAGAATCTCCGTCAAGGATAGACTAAACTATTTCATCATTTACTTAACTAATTAAGAAGAATCCATCAAGTGGAAGCCAATAATGTTTCAAACCAACCGCAATGAGGACAAATGCCTGATATATCCCATTTATAGGACACCTCCATTAACAAAAATAGTAAAATATTTTAGATGGAATTGAGTATTTGGTAAAATCTCCCTACCTTTGAAACATTGCTACACAATTGCATAGATATTTCTCAGCTATGTTTGTTTGTAATATGTTTTAAGTCTTTCTTTACAACTGTTAAGCAGAGATCAAAGTATATCAAGAATCAAACACAATCGGCAAGCCGTTTTGGCTGGTTCTTCAACGCAGGCGTGGGTTGGTGATTGGTGGTGTGTGGCTGGTGTATTCCTGTTTGTTGCTTGGTGGTGTGTCATTGTTGTTTAGTTTGGTTTCTGTTGGTTTAGTTTGTGTTTAGTTTTTGTTGTTTGGTTAGTGTGGTTTGTTTGGTTGTGGTGAAGTCTAGACAATGTCCGTTACTTTGTGTGCGGGGGTGCTCAAGTGCTGATTGCGTTGTTGACTTCATGTAGGGATGTTCCTGCATTGTTAAAGTCACAGATGTTCTTCGACTTCTATTGGTTTTGTTTGTATCGGGTCGTGTATAGTTTGTTTGCCTTTGAGTCGTGTTTGTTTTAGTGGTTGTCGCTTTGGCTGTGGAAGCACTTAATCTCTCTTTGGAGAGCTGTGTTGGAGGTTTTTCCTCCTTGTATTTGCTTTTTGAGCCTTCAATGAAATATTTTGTGATTCAAAAACAGACTATAAATGAAAATTACAAAAACTAAAGAAAGAATACGGAGATTCTTCTGATCGAAGCTTTAGAGGTTCAATGACTCTTTCAATACCTAATCCAACATCCACAAAAGTGGATAATGCTCTAAGCACTATTAGCAGCCAAAGCAACAATGAAAAGGTACAAATTGTAGTTATCAAATACACCCACCAAGCCACAAAGGCTCATAAAACAGAAACCCCAAACAAGCCCTTAGAATCTACTGTTCATAAAAGACATAACACTCTTCTTCTCTATACAATGGTTTCTAGCCAACACACAAATCATAGAACACCAAGTTCTTGACCACTCTTTCAAAAGAGAGAAAAAAAACAGATGAAGAGGACTAATGGAGCAAGAATCAATAGGGGATTTAGAGGTGTCAAGACGGACGGGCCGGCCATGTCCCGTAAAAACCGGCCCGTAAAAACCGGGACCGCGGGCCGACCCGTGACCCGTGCGGGCGGTTCACGGGCCAAGGAGGTGTAACCCGCGGGCTTCGCGGGTTGCACCCCCACGGGCTGCGGTTAACCCGCGGCCCGTAAAAAAAATTAAAAAAAAATAAAATAAAAATTAAAAAAAAGGGGAGAGATTATTTTTACAATACCCTCTCATTAGTTATTATACATTTATACTTTATAGTTCATACTTGTTACTACCTTACTACAATTACAATTATTCAATTGCAAATATCATCATCATCTTGATTATATTTCTTTCTTCTCGATTCTCACTAGTCACTACTAAATTTTTTAATCCTACTATATTATAGATTCTCACGATTCTTTTTCTCAAAATCCTATTTTCAATAATAGTTGCTCTCCAATAAATTTAGAAGATGATAATGTTGTAGAAGTTTGCAAAGTTATAAATAATTCATGTAACATTAAATTTGAATTCTATGTAAAAATTTCTTGATATAATTATGAATTTATCATTTTGTTCAATTCTTAGTTTACATTTAATAAAAAAATATATTTTTTGCTATAAATATGAAAAATTCTATATTTTTATAATTTTATTTATACAATCATACGGGCCAAAATCGGAACGAACCGCGACCCGCGCGACCCGTGACCCGCATGGGCTCGACCCGGATGGGTCAGCGGGCGGGCCTGGGTTGTAGTCCAAAATTGTGGACCGACCCGTAACCGGCCCGGAACCCGCAGCGGGTGGGCTTTTTTTCACGCGGGCCGTTACCGGGCTCACATGTTGGCGGGTCGGCCCGGCCCGGACGACCCGGATTGCCAGCTCTATGGGGATTTTCTAGGGTTCGAGAGTTTCTTCAAGAGAACGAAAATGGGAAAGTGACGATCCACTTGCCCCGAAAGACAAGATCAAGTGTAGCCAAATTGAAGTATCCAGAAACTGATCCGATGCGCCTCACTCTTCCACGTAATTGCATCTCACAATAAGTTGCTGATTGTAAAAGCGTGTGTCTATCAAAAATTCAACTTTCCCAACTTTGATAGCACACTTTTTTCTCAACAAATATCCAATCGTCGTAGGAAAAAATCGAACTACGTCCCAAAAAATATCCTCTAATGCTTAAGTCAAAATTTCTGGAACATAATACTACTCTACATTTGTGAACGAAATAAATCTACAATATAAAAGTATACAACTTTAGTGAAATTATTTTGACGTGTACAAGTCATATATTGCTTTTCTTGAAAATGAAGTAAGAATTAAGTGGACCTCCCAATTGTGTTTAATGTTACTAAACTTATTTGTGGTTAAACCATTGCAAAAGCAGACACCAAACATGTGTCCCATGTTTAGGTACTACACAGTGCTTGGTTTCAGCTGTGGTTGAGGCTTAGATCCTCTCTCTCTCTCTCTCTCTCTCTCTCTCTCTTCTGTGTTTTCTCTGTGCTGCATGATGACAGCATTGCACATAGAATTGAATAGAGATGTACATTTATGGAAGTTTTGCGGCTATGTATATACACATACAGACATAAAACCTGATCTGGTGATTCACAGAAGTGAAATTTCTGCATTTTAAAACAAAAGCCCAAGTACCCTTCAATCCCCCCCATTTCATGTCCAAAATTGAGACACCAATCAATATAAACAAAGTTTATAACCACCCAACCCCAGTAGATGCCTGTCATTTAGTTTTTTGTATTTTCTTGCACCCACCCCGAATCCCATATTCCATGTAATTTCTCTGAGAAAAATCATTTCTCTCATATTGTTGAAGAAAATCCACATTCAAGAGCCTAAGATGGGCATTTTGAATTTCTTGCCCTTCTTCTGGCTCTTTTTCTTCTTTACGCTGGCATTAGTTGCATCAGAAGATGATAACGGAAATGTTGGCAAGATTTCTAGATTAACGAATCCTCCACCTCCACCTCCACCTCCCCCGCCTTTGCCACTGCCTTCCGATGCGAAAGCTCCACCGTTCAAGCCTGGTGTTGCCATAATTGTTGGAGTACTCACCACCATTTTCTCCATCACTTTTCTGTTGCTTCTATATGTAAAGCACTGTAAAAGGGATATCCATGTCAATAACTCCAGAGGGTACCCTCAATCAGCAATGGTAGCAAGGAAAAATTCAGGAATCGACCCGAAAGTGATTGCATCACTACCCATATTCCGGTTTAAATCGTTGAGGGGTCAAAAGGATGGCCTGGAATGTGCAGTTTGCCTCAATAAATTCGCACCCGATGAAGTTCTTAGATTATTGCCAAAATGTAAGCATGCTTTCCATGTCGAATGTGTGGATACTTGGCTTGATGCTCATTCAACTTGCCCACTCTGTCGCTACCGGGTCGACCCGGAAGACATTCTTCTGGTCGATTATGAGAATAAATCTCTGTATAATCATGACCAGTCTAATGAAAAATTGAGCTGTGCTCTACTATCTCCTAGCCAGAAGGGGAAAGAATTCGTTAATCCGAGAGTTTCAGGGAGGCATTCGTCAGCCGGAGAAAGAGGAAAGTCGTTAGAAATTATAGTCGAAAATCCCCGCAAGGATTTCAGCAGAAGATCACTTGATAGCTGGAAATCCGGCAAGAAAAAGTGGTCCAGAAAAGACAGCCTGGCGGAGAACTCCAGTCAGGAATTAGGTAGCAAATCCCTAGATAGCTCAAAATCCAGGAGAACGTTAGCTAATGAATCCCGAAAAGACGGGTTGCTGCTGGAAAAGCAGAAGCAGGTTGAAAAGCATCGCCTGGAACACCGGATCATAATTGCCGGGGAGGCTCAAGCAAGCAGCAGCAACAGTAGCCACGACCACCGCTGGAGCGACGTACAGCCACCAGATTTACTCTACTTACGATCGGAAATGATTCTGAGTACAAGCCTGGGGTTCTCACGGCGGCGGAAAATCGGCGGAGATGAAAACGACACGGCGGAGGGGAGTGGCAGAGGTGTAATAAATGAAAGAAGTGTGTCTGAAATCACAGGAATGAGTAGGTACAGAAGTAATGGAAAACAGGAGGAAGAGGGACAAAGACATGAGGGGGTTGTAAAGAGGTGGTTGGCTTGGATTTCACAATCCCAACAGCAGAAAAAGACAGCTGTACAGTCTGCCAGGCCTTCTTCTTCTTCTTCTTCTTCTTCTTCTAATACCTCCATTGTTGTTTAGCTTACCTTAGCTGTATTACTCAGCATCAATAGCCTTTTTTCTTCATTTTATAATTGGAGAACATATGCTTGAAGAAAGCTTCATGGCAGAAGATGATCCATTGGGACTCGGGAATTTGGCACTTTCCGATTTCACAAAATAAATATTCTTGTCAAAATGCACATACATGCACGTTTCAAGATTCCAATATGCACTACTATAATCAAGAATATTTAACAAAATTAGACATAGTAATAAACAAGATTTTACTTTCAATTTTGGAACGGTCAATTGCTATCCGATTCTTCATGCCCAACATGGCACAAGGGTGTCATCTTATACAAGCATTTGAGGTATTAAAGAGATGGCGTGTCTATTTATTTATTAATATTTATAATGACAACAGGCGCGGATGTCTAAAAAGGAAGACAAATCCCCCTATCTGGGACTGGAAGTGTTCATAATTTGATAAAATACACATGCCGTAAAACGTACTAATAAGAATTTGAGTAATGCTATTTAGCATAACTGGTATTACAATATCAATTTTAATGATACTAAATGTCTTAAATGAAATGTGCAATTAAATGAATAACATAATTTCTCCTTTAATTGAACATATCACATACTGCTACATAGTCTAGTGCTCTAATACCACTAGTGCTAGATACTATATGGTATTATTCTAAGGATTAAGTTGTTTGGAATATGTTGCTTAAAAGCTAGATGAATCTTATTAATAAGGCTCGTTTAGCTATATGTAGTGGTGGGGGAAAGCTATGGTCATAGCTATTACTTCACCGTGCTAAAAAGACAGTGATTTTAGTGCAGCACCAAGCACTAGGATGCATAAAAATGGCAGAAACTTTGGATTTATACATAAAATGTGGAAAAACAAACTCACAAAGATAAATCTATAAATTGAAAAAGGACAAAAATTCCCCATTCAAGTTGCAAACTTGCATTTAGTGCCAGAATTTATCATATGACCTTCACCAGATCACAAGTAGCATGCCAACCAGAGATAAACAGCAATTCTGATCATTTCCGTACACTTTGCAAGCACATTTACTGCATCAATATCAACAATCAACTAACCTTATTCTAGATGAGTTCAAAGTCATATAATACATTTTCAATTATTTAGAAGTTGTTCGATCCCTATTATCTTCAAAATATATATATATATTCAATCACACATTCTTCAATAAAATAATATTACACGCAAATTCAAAAAAAATTCTTAATTTTTAACCACACATTCTCCATCATTCTACTATTCGAAAATACTTTCTTTAATAAAAATGGGTATCAAACGTTCTCTTAAGTAGTCATTCCTTTAAATTATCTTTAATTAACATAAATTCGATTTTTCAATGCATTTATTTTACCATTCTAGTATGACCACCCATTCGACATTTTTTTTCTTTAACAACTCAACACGTAGTACTTACTACCCACTAAAATTTATCTAATAATCACTCTGTAGAAGTTATCTTGCTAAGTATCTTCTGATCAACCGGAATCTATGTAACAATATTCCATTTTGTCCAGCCCACCCTAATCTTATGTATTACATCCTCGTTAAGTTCTAGTTCTTTGTTAAATATTGAACTAAATATCTAAAACAATCAATCAAAATATATAAACAAACAAATTTATTTTCCTTTTCCTCCAATGTCCACACAAATATCAGTATACTCATAACTCTAACATTTCCAATAAAAATACAACAAAATACTAGAAAGTAGTAAGGTCAATATGATACTTTCTTCCTCAGTATACAAAACCTACAACATTCCAAATGAAGAAAGCATCATTAACTGTTCCATGCTTTCTAATACAGCAGCTATCGATCAAATCAAATTGTTAGGTCATTTTTTATCCATTGTAACACCGACAACGAGGTTGCTTACCTGTATATTTTGAGATAACCGTCTCAGATTTAGTCTTCTTCAACATGAAGAACAAGGGGCACCAAGAGGGAAAAAAAAAAAAAGAAATCTTAAGTAAATATGAAACCGAAAATTACCAATTTGCCACTCTTGTCAACGGACGTGGGATTTTCCACGACGACAGTTTGACTCTGAGAATTTGGTAAATCCTGCAGTAAATGACAAATAATAGAGAAATTATTAGATATATCTTTCCTGTGTAATGTATTTATGAATAGTGAATATCATATCAGGAACTAACTGCTGAACTAGAGGGCATTGATGCTGAAGAAGGTGCTCCATTTGGCCGATGCATGGGAATGGGGACCCTAACATTACACATCTGCAAATATAAAGCAATGAGATAAAAAGCACGATATTAGAGATGAATAACATGTGGTATACACATCCAAAAAATGAAAGAGAGATATTAATATACTTACATTGACATTAGTGATATACTGACAAACAGCGCATTTGACAGATGGAGCACCATATGGGTACGTAAGCGTTGTGCGGCAATTCCCACAATTGACATGAGCAATGTTGGGAGCTTATCAGACAGTGAAAATCCAGATAAGAAAATACAAAGCCAACAAAACTAGATTTGAAAATAATAAAAGAATGGTACTGCAAATTTTTAGTATGTAATGGTAACAGAAGTTGGGGGGAACCGTGCAATTTCAGGGAAACAGAATACATGATGATACGGTAAAAGATTTAGTTTTGCTGTTTACATTTATTTAATTCACTGTCATATAGAGAACTTGCAATATATCACAAATACTTGGAGAGAAAGTAGTGTAGTTCCTGCGGGCAAAACTATGCTCATCAATTAAGCCCCTGTTCGATGGCCTTATTGAGAAATAATAATGTTTTGAATAGTAATTTTTTTGGAGGATATATGGTTAAAAAGTAGGAATAAGTTTTGCATTTACGTGTAAAACATTTTATTATGTGAATGTATGGTTGAAAATGAATATAAAAATTAACGAGCTTTGTTTTGAAGGAAGACAAACAGGGAATAAATAGGTTCAGGAGTTGATGGGCAATGGCTAAGCATACAAGAGTTATAGACAGATAATTAAAGTTATCAAAAGACTTTATTTTGTGGATCTTTGGTAATAGCTTCCCTTGCTTCCATTGAAATTTCACCTAATCGGTCTTTTGTTTCATCTGTCCACTTTTTAAATAAAAAATAAAGAACGGATCAAACATTATACATAGTCATATATCATTCCGACAACTTCATTGGCAGAAACTTCATACGATTCAATGTATGAAACCTCGCTCTAAAGAGGGAGAAAATATGAAAAGCCAAAATATTGGCAACATAGAAAAACAATTTTTCAGAAGTCGTCGATGTAAAAAATAAAAAAAAACACATACACACGTGCGCACACACATATATAAACACTTTTCTAGCCCATTCTTTGAATTTACCCCTTACGGAATTTCAGCAGATGACTTCAGGTGCCACCTAGACTGCGTAAGTGGTTATTGGGTCAGGATGATCAACAGTGGTTTATGGTATACACCTCACAAACTCGAACAAAAATGACAGTTCAATCACCACCAGCACGACTATGCGGTACTAATTGTCCTCTCAAGACAAAGAGCCAAACCATGGAAAAGGCACATACTAATTCTATGTCCTGGAAGTTCTCAAAAGCAATAAGATTTTTGACGAATTCGAATCACTCAGTGACAAGATGGATTGCAAAAGCTAATCAAATAATGATGAAATTTGACTCTTGACAATTTCAAATCACCGAAATGGCAAGCAATAAAATACACTTTTCAGATCACTAACGACCAAGGCTCGACACATTTATTAGAAAATACAACGGTGAGTTTCAAGAATCAATGATAGCCATCAATTAAGTTTACCTGGTGCAAGATTTACTGTATGACAACAAGAGCATCTCACACTTGTAGCACCATGGGTGTACATCAACAATGTACAGCAACCTCCACATATCAATTGAGACGTTTCCATTACTGAGAGGAGGGAGATTTAAGTCACATATAAAACATTGGAACGTCCAATGGTCAGTCTGATTATAATAGCACAACTACCCAACAATATACATGTATGATCATACTTGAGATGGTTTCAAATTGCAGAACTTTTTCAAGTCGCCCATATTTTACGACTTGAGCTAAAATCTTAAGTTTTGTTGCTCTTAATCTCTAGATAAGCAGAAACAAGAAAGTCATAACTTTATCAAATATCCTATATAAACACATGCGCTACAATATATTGATAAGTTAAAATTGTTGATCAGCCAACACATATCAACAGAGTATGCAAGTAACCGGGAATGCATATAATTTTCATTTTCTTCCTTTTTAAATTATTGGCATTTTAAAGCTATCAAACTCAAACAAATAATATGATATTTGATAATTCAACATTTTCCAAGGAACACTCAAACAAACTATAGCTTTCTGAAATTTCGAATTCAAATTTACCTGGATGGGGCACAGAAGTGATGGTATTGCACACGGCGCAACACACATTTGTTGCTCCACTCGGGTACATAAGAAGGCTCCTACACCCATTGCACACTATCTGGCTCTGCATTCCTGTAACCATTTTAAATTATTACGTAAAATGACAAACACATCAGTAAAATTAACACGAAATTATAATTGGAACGAAATCGAAGTTTCCAGAGAAATTGGAATTCTAGAGTACTCGCCAAATATTACGGTAAAATGTGAAGAAACGGAAGTGGATGGATTTTCAGTTCATCAGCGACGAAGAAACGGTTTTTTTTGTGGGGTGTTGAAATCGAAATCGGAATCGGAATCCAAATCGGGATGAAAATTGGAATTCTATGGGTGGAAGGTAAATGGCGTAGTGGGGGTGTCAGTGCAATTTCCTCTTTGTAGTTTTTGAAATTATTTTCTTAAGAGTGTAATCGTTGAGTGGGCCGTCACGCTTATAGGATTATCCTACTTAAATAAAAGATTGAACGGTTGTGACACTATTTATAAGCACTATTCATAAGCCACCGGCTTAACTCGGCTTTTTTATTTTTATTTTTTGCGTTTCCAAATCGAGCGAATAGACTTTTAGTCTAGGCTCTGCTAAACCGCTGTACCGATTTTTTTTTTTTTAAATATTTTAGGTTCTAAATATGCGTTCTAAGCGATTTAATTTTGTTTTGAAATGTTGAAGAGTGGCCATCCTAAATATATGATCGACTCGGCCAAGATTTTTTTTTTTAATTTCGTTTGTTTT